GAGAAGAGTATACCAAAATGGGTAAATAATTATGAAGATAGTGAGTAGTCCGATTATATTTTGAAGTTAAAACTGGTAAGATTCATCGTTCAACACCCGCCTATGAGTGAGAACATGCGGTGTTTGATCTTCTGCTCCTCTGTCAGTTTGCTGAGAATGATGGTTTCCAGGTTCATCCATGTCCCCACAAAGGACCCAAACTCATCGTTTTTGATGGCTGTATAATATTCCATGGTGTATATGTGCCACATTTTCCCTATCCAGTCTATCGTCGATGGGCATTTGGGTTGGTTCCAGGTCCTTGCTATTGTAAACAGTGCTGCAATGAACATTCGTGTACACGTGTCCTTATAGTAGAACGATTTGTAATCCTTTGGATATATACCCAGTAATGGGATTGCTGGGTCAAATGGAATTTCTATTTCTATGTCCTTGAGGAATCGCCACACTGTCTTCCACAATGGTTGAACTAACAAAGGGAGGGGAGCACTACACACTGGGGTCAGTTGGGGGGAAATAGGGGAGGGACGGTGGGGGGTGGGGAGCTGGGGGGGATAGCAGGGGGAGAAATGCCAGATGTAGGTGATGGGGAGGAAGGCAGCAAATCACACTGCCATGTGTGTTCCTATGCAACAATTTTGCATGTTCTTCACATGTACCCCAAAACCTAAAATACAATAAAATAAATAAATGGGAAAAAAAATAAATAAATAAATAAAATAAAATAAAAAAATAAAACTGGTAAGATTTTCTAATGTATTGGAGGTGGGAAGTGAGAAAAAGAGATGAATCAGAGAGACTTCCAGGCTTTTAACACAAGCAACTGGAAGGAAAGAGGGGCCACACATTGAGAAGGGAAAAAGTGATGGAACAGCATGCTGAAAGGGGTGTAATTATGCCTTGTTTGGGACATTCTAAGTTTGAATTGTCTATTTGACATCTGTTGAGAAATGCTGAGTGTATAATAAATTTATTGTTTGCTAGGAAGAACAATGGCAAGAAAAACCTAGCCCACACCTCCCCACCCAGTAGAAAACTACTTGGGGCATTCTAAAGTGGCAGGACAATATATAAATATCATACGCCAGTTAAAACAATTCTTTAAGTGCAGCATATCCAACCCTGCCCCTGTGGCTCCCTCCTGGAGAATGCTTTTTAGTTTGTGATCAGTGGTATGCAAGCACCAGCTGCCTACCTGGTATATTTTTGTGTTATGGGAAAATACTGAACATCTGTTTGTTAATGATCAGCACCTGTTCAGAGAGAATAAATTTGTGGGTCAGAGTCTGCTTGAGGCCCTCAGCCCGGAATGCTGTCAGCTCCTGAGGCTCTCAGCTCGGAAGGCTGTTACCTCCCGCGATAGACCCACTTTACTGATCTATCTGGGCATCTGTTTCTGAATTCCTTCAGCACCACCTGGGTGGGGGTGGGGTGGTCTCTACGGCTGAGCTGGTCTCGGTAAGTGGCAGCTAGACGTGGGACTCAAACCCAGGGCGAAGTGTCCCCTGAGTAACAGAGAGGAGAAGCTAAGCCGAAGGTATCTTAAGTACTCTTGAGAAAAAAAAAAAAAAATTCCTGGGATAAGTTGGGGTAACTTGGAAGGAGCCCGGGAACTTTTGAAAGAATCTCCCAGGTGAGTTAGCCGGAGCCTGGAAGTAGCCCAAGAACTTTTGAGAAAATCTCCCAGAGTAAGCTGAGGGAGCTCAGTAGGTAGTATTAGGGTAAGATAGGACAAGGATCAAGCAAATTTGAGGCTTATTTAGTATGGTCTGTTTGGGCTTTAGCGCATTTTGCCTTAGAGACATTTCAGAACAACTATGAAGAAGATTCAGAAGAGGAAAGCGAGTACGATGAAGTATGATGAACTATAGAGCAGAAAGATGAAAAGTCAAATGAGAAAAAGGTGTGCCCATAAGCCCTCACCTCAGTATCTTGTTGCGGATGGCTGGATCCTCCCGATATTTCCACCTCTGCTTCTGTTACAGTATGTACTCCTAGAACTATGGTAACCAGTTCAGGCATGTGTACTCGTAGAACTATGGTAACCAGTTCAGGCACGTGTACTCCTAGAACTATGGTAACCTGTTCAGGTGTGTGTACTCCTCGAACTATGGTAACATTTCCATCCAGGCAGGAATACTACAGGTGAGAGAAAAAGGAGATTTAGAAGCGTGGCTTCTAAATCTAGCATGGCTTCTAGGTTGATTGCTAGAGATTTAGACACTTTAACCTCAGCTTGTTTATCTCCCTCTCAATTTTTACAATTTAATACCTGGTGGACTGACGAGGCTAATATTCAAGCTAATATAAACGTTAATGTTCAACCTCAGATTAATGTTGCCATAAAACAGCTTATAGGAGCTGGTGCATGGACTCCTTTACAGGCACAGGCTACTATGGCTGATTTAGTCATAGAGCAGATTAGGAAAGTATGTTTAAGAGCTTGGGAGAAAATTACATCAGAAAGCGAAAAAAGTCCTTCTTTGGGAGCTGCTAAGCTGGGGCCAAAAGAGCCTTATACTGACTTAATAGTTTGATTGCAGGAAGGCTTAAGAAAGGCCATATCAGAAACAGAGGCTCAGAATATTGTAATATGCATACTACTGTTTGACAGTGCTAATTCTGAATGCCAGGCTGCTTTACGGCCACTTAAAGGGAAAGCTCACTTAGATTGCATTAAGGCATGTGATGGAATAGGAGGAAATTTACACAAAGCTACCTTTTGGTACATGCAATGGCAGGTTTAAAAATAAACAAAGGAGGTCCTGGAGATTGTTTTAATTGTGGAAGGAGATGGTGAATATAGAACTCCACAAATGCAACTAAATTTAGCATGATTACCTTTGAATTTTTTGAGTTTGCCAAGAAGAGGACAATTAGCAGCTGAACAACACCTGAATAAAGTGTGATGAGACTGAATATAACTGGGAAAGAATAAAACATCATCTGGAAGGACATGTTGAAAACCTATCACTGGATATGAGAAAATTAAAAGAACATGTTCTTCAAGCCTCTCAAGCACATCTATCTTTGATTTCAGAATCCGAGGTACTTGAGGGAGCTGCTGATGTATTGGGAACCATAAATCCAGTGATTTGGGTGAAAACACTTGGAGAATCTACGATTGCTGCTATGATTATGTTACTGATCTGTTTTGTTTCTCTTTGTGTAGTCTGCAGGTGCAGATTCCAAATCCTCCAAGGAATAGTTCACCAAGATAAAGCTGTGCTTGCTTACCTATGTCAAAGAAAGAAGGGGCGAAAATGTCAAGAAATGCTGCATGGATGATTGCTGAGAAATGCTGAGTGTATGATAAAATATTTTGTTTGCTAGGAAGAACGATGGCAAGGAAAACCTAGCCTGCAACCCCCCATCCCCCACACATAGAAATCGACTTGGGGCATTCTAAAGTGGCAGGACAATATAAAAATATCATATACCAGTTAAAACAATTCTTTAAACACAGCATATCTGACCCTGCCCCCATGGGTCCCTCGTGGAGAATACTTTTTAATTTGTGATCAGTGCTAAGTGGGCACCAGCTGCCTACCTAATATAGCTTTGTTATGAGAAAATACCAAACATCTGTTAATCAGCACCTGTTCAGAGAGAATAAACCTGTGGGTCAGAGTCTGCTTGAGGCCGTCAGCCTGGAATGCTGTCAGCCCCTGAGGCTCTCAGCTGGGAAGGCTATTGGCCCCCTGGATAGACCCACTTTGTTGTTCTATCTGGGTGTCTGCTTCTCAATTCCTTCAGCACTGCCTCGGCGGGTGTCTCTACAGCCGAGCTGGACCAAGGTCATTGTAAACTGAGAATTCAGGGAAAAGTTCCAACTTTTTTAAATTTGTCATCTCTTACTGTAATTATGTTTAGGTACTTCATGGAGTCATTATAAAGATTCTTTGTTCTGTGTAGACATAGCTAAATGATGCCTGTTGCTTAAAATATAATAAATGCCTAAATAGGTAATTTTTTATTAGTAAACTCCAAGTATAGGCAAAATTTCATTTTGTCATTTTAAAGCACAAAAAATTGTCACTTTTTTATAATTTTGAGAACTGAATTTACTCTTTACCCTTAAGCATATAAAACGTAGTTTAATTCTATTGACATTACTAGTATTTAACATATATGTTTTTTCATATTTTTAGAAATTTTAGGTATTTCTAAGCATGCTATTCTATGTAACAATTTCTAAGGACTTTTTAAAATAAAAATTGAGAAAATAGAAGTGAGCAAATAACTTTAATTGCCTTCCAATGTCATATCTACCAATTGATCAAAAATTTTACCCATAATCTGCCCTTTCTCCTGTAACAGTGAATAAACTGTATATATTTTGTCATATTTAAAGTCAGCCCCTCCACCTGTACATGGTTCCTACAGTGTTTCCTTCTTATAAAATTTATTCCTGCCCTACTGTATCATTCCCACGGCATACTGTTACATCATTCATATGTGTGAAGTTTTCCCCTTGCCGAAACATTTTCCAATGCAACTGACAAAATCTCAGTTTCCTTAAATACTTTTTGAAAGTGTGGTCTATACTTGCTCTGTCCACTTCCTCTCTTATTCTCTTTAGAGCCACTGCTATCAGTGCTTTTCCCAGTCATTTTACTGGAAGCACTCACACTGTGATCACACATGAACCTCAGGTTATCAAATCCAATGGTCAATTTTCAGTCCTTCTCTTCCTTATTAACTGTATGTATTTGGTTTATCACACCCTTCTTGAATTCCATTTCAACAGCAACAGTGGCAACAAAAAAGTGAATAAGATATATTTACAAATGAAAACTATTTGAAATTTATCTTCACAACTCTTTACAGACAGGTTAAGTCTGATTGATTATTACAATAAGTATCAATGATGTTTCATTGACATTATTTTTTAAGTATGTAATTGGATTAAAAGAGTCCATTAGAGGTAAAAAAGTGAAAGTGAAGTTTTCACTGGAAATAAGTCAGCATCATCCTCTTAGATGAAAGATTGCGTATTAAGCTTTGCGCAGTGGCAGTATCGTAGCCAATGAGGTTTAGCCGAGGCGCGATTATTGCTAATTGAAAGTTTGAGTATTACATAGAATTTCAGCACAATTAGAGGAAAGGTAAAATTGTTTCAGGATTAAGTTAAATTGGCAGAGCACGTATTGAATAACCTAAATCAATCTGCTTTGCTGAGATGGATCTAATAAAAGATTTAGGGTGATGAGAAAAATAAAATCACTATTGAAAACTTTTATAAGAAATCTTCCTTTAATCCATGTTTCACTTGTTATTGAGATTGTTCTTTTAGCTCTGTTATCACAGAAAGCATCAAATTGCCTTATTCACATTATGCTATATTTTCTTGAATCTACAATTTACATAATGAGTTCATTAATATTATTTGTAATAAATAAATAGAGCTTCTTGTTTGCAAAAGTATACTTAAGTAGAGAGCATACAAATTCTTAATAAAAACAAGGTATTCTAGTATTGATGGTAACAAATTTAAAATATTTATATCCACAGGAATAACAACCACAGTAATGTAATAGCAGTGTAGTTCAACATTGACTTACTGAGTGCTATGTGCCAGGTGCTGCATTTGCATTGGGGAGTCGGGGCTTAATAACACAAGGCAGAAATAAATTCTAAGCAGAGGTACAAGAAATAGAAGAGATAAAACAAGTGATATTTCAGAAAGAAAATGCCATTTGAGCTGTTTCTTAACAGATATAAACGGTTAAGTAGCTTATAACTATATTTTACCTACATTATTTCATGAAGTGTGCAGTAAGTGAGGGGGTTGTCTTTGGAGTGCCTTTCTCCTTACTCCACAGCACAGTCCCCCTGCTGCCCATGTTTAGATTACAATTAAGAGCATCACCTTTAAGCAGACATGCCTGAGTTCAAATCTTGATTATGCCATATGTAAATATTGTAACTTTAGATAAATATTAATTTAGTGCTGACAAGTTTCACATCCCTTATTTTTCATTAGGCATAACAGTTCTATTTGAAAGAGTAAAAATAAAGAATAAATAAAATATGTAGAGTATTTGGCACTATACTTCACACATAAGCACTCCACATCAGCAATACACAATAGATCTTGCTGTGTTTCTTCCTCCTTCTCTTTCCAAAATTGTTATTATTAAGCCAAAGCTCTAAAAAGAGTGTTTTGAGCCACATAAATTATAGCTACCTGTATCAAATCATGAACTCTCTTCTACTGATTATAACAGTCTCTTTTTTTTTTTTTTCCACTGTAACATATTATGATTCCATTTGGAGGCTATTTTGATAGATAAAATTAACTTGCAATGATTAACACATGTTCAGTTCGGTCTGCTGCCTTTATTTCAATCAACTTGTCCCCATACCAAGTGGTAGTGTGAGTTGAGAGCAACTACTCAGTACCTCCTACTTATTCAAGACATAGGACTTATATTTCTCTGCTTCATTCTTCTTCATGACTTTAAACTCTCTTCTCTATGGCTGACATCCTCTCATCTTCTGAGTACACACCATGCAGAAAATTAGAAAGTTCTTTTTGGTTGGGTGCAGTGGCTCACGCATGTAATCCGAGCACTTTGGGAGGCTGAGGCAGGTGAATCACCTGAGATCACGAGTTCGAGACCTATGGTAGTTTGGTCAGGGTGGTGGCAAAAACAGAGTGTATGTCAGTGTATTTTATTTGTCCGTTGTTGAGTCAGGGTCTGCAAGACAGACGTCCACAGGTGGTGACCCTGACAGAGACCAACCTGACCAATATGGTGAAACCTTGTTTCTATTAAAACTGCAAAAATTAGCCAAGTGTGGTGGTGCGTGCCTGTAGTGCAAGCTACTCAGGAGGCTGAGACAGGAGAATTGCTTGAACCTGGGAGGAGAGGTTGCAATGAGCTGAGATCATGCTACTGCACTTCAGCCTGGGTGACAGAGTGAGACTCCATCTCAGCAACAAAAAAGGAAATTTTTATTGAGTTGTCAAGAAAACCAACAAATACTGATGATTTTATATAAATTAATCGCCCTCTTTAAATCTGTGATAATCTAACTTCAAGATTTGCATTAGTGAGAAAGAAAGGTGTGCTATTGGGTCATTTAACAATAACTTGTTCAATTTTTGGACAGTAACTGAATGTGTATTTACAGGTTTTGATTTCTAAATCTTCATAAAAGATCAGGAATATATTTAACTTTTAACTTTTATGATCTAATTTCTTTTTACAAATACCCTTTCACTGAACCAGGTTCTAATTTCCAGTCTCCAAATGTAAGACAGATTTTTATGTGGAACTTCTCAGTGCATGAGTGGGATTCAAGGTGATGGAAGAGTAGAGAACATGTGAAAAGTGTGGTATATCCTGGCTGCCGTTAAACTTTTGACCACTATAGTTAAATCATTATAAGGATGTGAAATATTATCTTTGTACCTACTTAAAAATATTACTGTAAATCATCATTTAACATACTATATATTCATTAGAAGAAAGGCTGTATCTTTGATAAATTATCAATGTATCAGCAGTTACATCAATTCTCTTATAAGATCTTTTGTATACATTCATCCACATACTGCTATTATGTCAATTATTTAGAATTATTTGAAGAATGTTTTAGACCAAAATATTTGCAACAAATAACAGTCTTTAGATTGTTTAAACATGCATCTTAAAAATAAATTATTCACAATTTCCAAAATTTGTTTCATTTTCAGCATATAAATTATATAATATTAAATTATAAGAATAAGATACAAATTATACCAGCATAAGCATTATCTATGTCTATTATTTTCAGTTGGAAGGTCTAGTGTATTGATATTTTGATTCATTAATCAGCATTTATTAAATAACTAACAAGAGATGTACTAGGCTCCAAATACTATAGTAGCAAACAGAACAGACAAGTTCCTTGTCTTTATAAAAATCTGATAAAGTATCTTACTTTTCTATAAGCTGATTTGTAAAACAAAAACCAAAACAAAAAACGATATTGTGCCCCTTCCCCGTAAATATTCAATTACTTCATGAAATTGTTATAGTTGGAAAGATATGTTATAAAGAGAAAGGTCAGGTGGCTTTTCAGGTGAGTTCTCAATGATTGCAGCTTAGAGATGTCACTGGGATTAAGGGTTAACCTCTCAGTTATGCAGGCACAGAAACCTAATGTAATCAAAAACCTAATCTAACAGTTCATTCATCGTGTGTATAGTTTGGGAAATGTGGATAGACTTTTACATGTTAAGTATCTCAGGTCTAAATTTAATGATTGCAGGAAGTCAACAACATGTATCAATGGAGAATTGTCAAGTTTATATACTTTGGCAGCCATGGAAATGCCTTAGTCAGTTGTATGCAGCAGTGTGAATTAGCAGCACTAATTTATACTCAGCACTTAGGAGTGTAATGGGTGGCTTGAGTTTCTTCTAAGGCATTGTTTATTTGATTACAGCACACAGAGTTATTCCCTGTTAGATTTAGAAACACACACACACACACACACAGAGCACAGGAGGAAGGGGAGGGGGAGAGAGAGAGAGAGAGAGAGAAAGAGAGAGAGAGAAATGTATGCATATTTCCAAAACCCTCAGTATTCCACATTCAAAGTCATGAGATTTGCTTACAGGTTATTAATGTGGTATAGAAACAATTTTAAGTAGTCCCCAATATTTTTAATGTAACCATACAATTTACATCGTGAATCGAAATTATAAGTGCTGTATTGAGAAACATCATTGATAATCAGAAAGTTGTTTGAGGTGCCTGGATTCAAAACAAAGTAGTTAAACCATACTTCATTAAGCCATAGGATAACTATGCAACTATTGTTGACATACAACAGAGTGCCATCCCTGTGACTGAAAAACTGTTCTCTAACAGATACGGTATTTGCATATCTATTTAGGCATGTAGTCATTGACTCACAAGTCATCAGAATTATCTTGGAAGATATATATTAACATTCCTCCTTTTTATGAGAGTTTAGATATATGTTAACATTCTTCCTTTTTATGTTTTTTTAAATGTTATGCATAATCAATTTAGTAGGGTAGTAAAGCTACCACAGAAAATGTACCCATCGATTAAAAGACATATTCTGATTTCAAAAATGTTAAAATCAAATGAAGATGAATTGTAGAGTCAAAGTTTTATTACAGACTGATGAAAAGAATGTTAAATAAGGTAAGTGAAGATTATATTTTTCTCACAAGGCAGAGTGTTTGAGTCATTTGCCCTCTGTCTACTGAGCAGTACTTGACTCTTGGGGTCTTCTCAGAGAGCTTTGTGCGTCTCTGAGCTGGACTAGGTAATAAAGGTGGGTCTGGGCTTGAGGAAATTTGACAGAAATAATTTAGACTCAGTTGAGGTTATATGTACTTGGTTTTACTTCTTAACCAACAAACAAGTTGTGGTTGGCTGGAAAATGGCTTCTCAAAACGTTCCCATGTCTTAAACCCTGGAACTTCTATACTATCTTACATGGCACGAAAAAGATCTTTGTAGATGTGATCAAATTAAGAATTTTGATGAGATCGAGCATGTTCAGGGTTGTATGGCCATAGACTAAATTAAAAATTTTGAGACAGGGATGTTATCTTGAATTATTTGGTTGGCTCCAATGAAACCGCATGTAACTTCATAAAGGGATGCAGAGTAAGATTTGGCTACATGCAGTGAAGAGGAGGCAGTGTGAAAACAGCAGACAGAAATTCAAAGATGTTGTCCTTGGAGACTGAAATCATGTGCCTACAAGTCACAGAATATTATTGGTCAAGAGAAGCTGGAAGAGGCAATGACTAGATTCTCTTTTGCAGCCTTTGCAGGGTCCACAGCCCAACCACACGCTGATTTTGGACTTTTAGACTCCAGAACTGTAAGAGAATAAATTTCTGTTTTCCAATGGCACCAAATTTGTGGTAATTCATTACCATGGCCAAAAGAAATTAACATACAGGTAGTGCAAAAAGTAGACACAAAATGAAGCATCCACAAAGGTACAGACATGGCTTCATATTGCCTCCCCTTTTTTTCATGGAGGTGCACCTAAAACTGGCTCTTCTTAGCAACTGAGTAGTGTGTGAGGAATCTGAAAGGTAAGTCAATATCAAAGCTCATGTTCTTATTTCCATTTCTAATGTATTGATA